CTTTCAAGGCACTTTTGCTTCTTAGAGTCAAACAGGAATTCAGAGGTGAAATATCAGCACCACATGACAGGGCTCCACCTGTCAAGGCACTTTGATGATTTTATTTTTTCTGAAAGATTGTTGCAGTGCAGAATCAAGTAGAAAGTCAAGCTGGGCTGTGAGAAACAGTAAGCCTCACAGCAGCATAGGAAAAGCTCAGAAGACCTGAGAAAAATTAACTTATTGCACAAGCTTTCGTCCTCACTATATAGGTCCAAAAATAATTCTCCATGGTTTGGTGTAGAGCCAAGATATAAAGGCAAGTACCCTCACTGGGATAAGCACTCCTCCATGAATGGATCCCACAGAGATTTTGGTTCTTCTGTACTGAGGACAGGGAATCTGGAAGAAGCTATTTTCAGATATTTATTGGCATTTGAGGCTATCCTCCATCTGTGCTGACTGCTCAGACTCTGACTCTGACACGCACCAACATGCAAATTCAGAACAGCCTATTTCAAACCAGCAGACAGGAATAATTGCAACAACAGAACTGGACTTGAACAACTCAGACCTTTATCAGGTGAAATATGCAAGGAGAACCAGCTCCAGAAAGGACTTTTCTTCAAGTTTAAAGACAAACAAAATAAGCCTGGCTTTCCTTTGGAGAAAGGCAAGCCACACCTGTGTCAATAATCTGTGGTATTTAGTACTGCAGGGAGTGAAGAGTCTGCACCAGCATGTATGCCTGGCGGGGAGGAAGGAACAAGCATGTCTATGGACATGTCTCATCTTCCAAACAGCTCAAGAGCTGGACTGAAGCCAGCAGCTCTAAAGCAGGTAAGCCAGCTTCAGAAACCAACACTGCTGGGATCCACCTCCCTCTCAGGCAGACAGAGCTGGAGAAAGAGAAGTATGTGGGGCAAGGGGCAAAATAATCAAAGATGACGAATGTGATTTTGTTTCTTCCATGCAAATCTGTCCAACGACCACTGATACTCCCTGGCAATAAGTAAGGTCAACCACCTAATTAAAAAAACGGGAACCAGGTATCAGCTGTTTTGATACCCAAGCACTCCCTGCAGCAGTGCAGGGGACAGCATCGGAAACTGAGTTAACCCTGCTCCCCCTAAAGGCTCTCCACGTGTAGCGTCCACTGCTGAACTGCCAAACTCTCTGCTTCCCTGGACAGGGCACAGGGAAACAGCCGTGCCAGCCTAGAACGAGGGGAAAATATGCAGGGTTGGAAGTGCAGATAGCATCTTACAGCATTATAATCAAAGGAGGATGGAATACAGACATGTATGTATTGGAGACTGCAGGGCTTATCCCTGGTACCTGCAGGCTGTGCTCCCAGGCACAGGGATGGGCAGGAAACAAACCACTGGGGATCCAACCTTAACCCAGCCCTGGAAACTGCACAGTTCAACCTCTAGAAGTTTTGAAAGGGGTGCCCAGCACAGGCAGGCAGTACACGAGGCCATTTAAAAAAATACAGCTGCTCTTTTGCCAGTTCTTCCCCTCTGAGGCCAATACCAAAGCAGACAGCAACAAGCAGGTGGCAGAAGAAAAAAGAACATGATTGAACTTCTTGTTTCTAATGAGACATCCACACTTTCCTCTACAATACACTTATAAATCAGTTATATCCTACCAGATCCAGCCACTCTGCAAGAAGACTAACACCCAGCCACTTCAGCCATGGCAGAGTGCACTGGTTTGGGGCAGAACAGCAGTTTATTTAATAAAGTGTTCTTCAGTGATGTGACCTTTACCACATTCTAAATTGAATTTTTAAGACTACCTCTCAACAGCTGAAAATATCAAGGGTGGATACTTCCTAAGCAACCTTCATAATTTGCCACCACCAAAGTAAAAGATTAACATGGTTTTCTGAAGCTTACTAATGCCAGCTCCTTTTATGCAGCTTGCTGGGGAATACCTAAATGAACCAGCAGTACTTTAATGACACAGTTTTCCCAAAAACACCTTTTCCCTTTCTTTGGAGCAAACCAGTTCCACTTGAGGTGAAAGTAGGCTCAGGCATCTTTTGGGAATCTGGCATGTTGAATATATCTTGAAATTAAAATGCCTTATCAAAATAAGAGTTAATTACAGGGATGACATTACTTCACACACACCCAGTTAATGGGTCTTATCACTCACTGCTTTTACTTCAAGTCAATATCATTTTAGTATTTAATCAAACAGGTTAATTGGCAGGCAAGATAAAAAAAAAAACATTGCAATCAAAAGCCTCTAAGTATTAGTACACACCTACACATCTTAACACAGTAAAATTACTCTTCAGGTTTACTGGATCAATAAAAGCTAGACATAAGAACGACTTGATGATTATCAAGAGGTGGTTCTTAGACATGCTTAGTATCCCTCTGAAATTTTGACACCCTTCTGCTAGATCCCAGTTTGGCTGCCTCTCCATCCAATGCCACGTGGATACAGAGGGGACCCTTAACCAGGAAAACATCAAAGTAGCCACCTGCTTGGAAAAACTGTTACCATGTGCCAGACATTCACTTGGGAGGGAGTGGCAGTATTTATCAGCTTTATTGCACTCACTAGTCCTGATAGCACAATCAAGGCCCAAGAGTTAATGATTTCCCCTATGGAAACCCCAGGGAGCCAAGCTGCAGGGCTGGGCTCTGGCCTTGAGCACTGCTTGCAATCTGTTGTTCATCCAGCCCTAGGATATGAAGCACGGGACCCCTCAGGTGAGACCTGGAGCACAAGGGCAATATTTCATTTCAGCTTCATTTTCCTTCCTCTTGCAGGTCTGGTCCATTGAGGGGGCTCTGGAGGTTTCTATCTGGTAGCTGCAGCAGGGCTGTAGCACAGCCAGTTGCTGGCTGGGGGCCCAAACCAATGCCTGCAGAACACAACATTTCACACCCATTCCAACAAGGTATATTGTTCAGGGCTTAAAAAGACTCTGATTACCTGATGAATTGGAATGGTTTGACCTCATTCATGCCTTTTAGTTTCTGCATACAGTTAGACCCTAGAAAAGCCCATGCCATATGTAAAGAGCCTGTGACACCTATTTAAAGGTGTTTCCAGGTTTGTGTTGCCTTAGAGTGAAACTGATAGAGTAGCTACAGCACTCAGCTGGGACAAAACAAAACAAAGTTATCCAAAAGTGTTAGCAAGTAATAATCAAGTGCCTCACTTCTTGTCACACTTTGGATTTACAGTAACTACACCTCTTGTTTAAGGGTCGTTGGGATGTGGTGTTGGTGGATGTGGTTTAGGAGAGAACTTTGTAGAGTAGGGATGATGGTTGGACTCGGTGATCCCAAGGGGCTTTTCCAACCTGAATAGTTCTGTGATTCTATGATTCTTACTCTCTAGTTGCTCAAAGCAATGAGGAAGGAGAACACTGCCACTTGGTGGAAAAGGGGGATAGGAAACATTTGCAAGTGCTCCAAGGAAAACTACTTTTACAATTGTGTTCTATCTCCCCCCATCCCGAGTGAATTTCTTACCAGCATGGCTAGTGCAGCTCCACCCACTGAATGCCCTGCAGAACCTGCCTGCCCCCTGCAGCTGCTGAGCAGCAGAGCTGTGCTGGACCTCTCCCCAGCTGCCAGCTGGCTACTTAGAACTAAAAATAACAACTCAGGCCAGAGGAGGCTGCTCCCTTTTTCTTTTCTGTCTGAAGACATCTATTAAAGATGACATGGAAGCCTGAAGGTGCTGAAGTTCAGATTTGCTCCTCTGCTACTCTTCTCAACTCCTCACCCTTCATGCCATGCTAGGATGGCAGGAATTACCTTTTCTTTTTTCTTTCCAAGTTTAATTTACATTTTCAGTTCTTGCAGAGTTTCTGCTGCAGAGTGTACCCAAATGCTTTTAATACACTCTGTGTTCCTTTGCTTCCCCACTGAAGGTGAAACCCTTGCTCCATGGCACTTGTAGCTCCTCAGAAGGGCAAAGTGCACCTGGACAGTAGCAGGTAGGGCTCCCTGAAATCAAGAGGCTCTTGAAACAAGGCAACAGGAAACATCAGCAACACATTCAAGCAGCAGCCACACAATTCAGTGGGAAGATTTCTGCCAATGCATCATTACTCAGACAAGAGCTACTCTTGTCTGATTTCATTCCCTCTCTCTTTGCCAGATCTTTTCCCTGAAGTCCTGGAGCCCCTTGAGAGGAGACAGAAATGCAGCCCATTGCAACAAGACCCTACACTACAAGGTTTGGGGTGATGAACACCAATTTTTTCCAATAAAAGGAGTTTCTTTTTCTTGCAACAAGAAAAGGAGACAATACATTCCATTAAGTGTCTCCTCCCTGTAGGCCAAAGGCATCAACAATTCTTCACACACCTATGTAGAGCTGCCAAGGTTTTCAACCATCTGTCACTACAAACCCATCAAAATATTGTGGATACTGGAAGAAGCTGCTGCGATAAAACTAATTTAAGCAGAATAGCTAAAGACATTAATTTGCCTCCATCTTGTCCCAGGCTAAATCAAATGCTCTGAAGAACTTCAGTTTGCAGTTATCACCTGGGGATCTTATTTCACTTTTTAAATCTTAAATACAAAATTCAGAAGGACAGAAAGAGAGCTGGGGACAACTGAATTGATTGTGATGTGTTTTCCGACCTCTGGGAGCACGAGATGATTCATTCATTAGCTGGTTCCAAACAAAAAAAGTATCTTGACTAACACTGGCCACAGGAGAACTCTGAATGCTACATCTCCCAGCTCACTGCAAAACAGGTGAGATGCTGTCAGAAAACCTACCTCAGATCTAATGCACAAGATGACTCTTAAGGTCATGAATGCAGATCTTCCTTGTGGCTCAGCCCACAGCCCCACTGCTTAACGGCCTTTGGCAGAAGCCACAACTAAAGTCAAAAAACCACATGACAGCTACAAAAAGGGAAGTATGAAACTGGCTACAGAAGATCACCAACGAACACCAAGCCATGCTGTTAAGACTCATTCCTCTGGTACTGAACTTCCCCCCCACCACACCACCACACTTTCAAATACCTTTAGGTCACCAGCCTCAGGTTTTTCAGTCTCTGAATCGTCATCTTCCTACAAGACAAGAATTTACAGGATTAAGCTTAAAGGGCAGGCTTGGCAAGTAACTGCACTTACAGCAAAGGGCTGGCATTCAGCAGCCCAAGACCCTTTCCATGGAAGGTAATTTTGCCCCACCCACTCATGACCGAAAAAACAAGTCCTACAGACAGGGAAAGAAGTGTTAGTTTGGCTTCTGGGGTTGTTTTTTTTCTAGGCAAAAGCATCACTCAGTAGCAGATGTTCCCCACATGCAGCTCCTAAATGTTCAGAACTAGACACTAAGAAGCAACAGAATTGGGAAAAAAGCATTTGTCATTTGATAATTCTGTCTCTTCCAGTTGGCAGAGGAGCTTCTTAAATTTGCTCCTGTTCAGGAGGACTCAGAAAAAGCAGCATTTGCAAGACCTATTATAGCCCTGAGCACACATCAGCAACAGACAGAGGACACACAGCTGGCCTGCCATCCAACCAAACATGCAGGCTTGGTGAAGGTCTGGCCTAGCACCAAGTTCCACAGATCTGGTGACACCAGCAGACACCACATCTTCCCTGTCTGGGCAGGGCTGGAGCAGCCTTGTTTGTGGATGGGCTGAACTGCAGAGAAGGGAACCACAAATGTCACTGTGTCAGGTAACAGACTCCATTCAGCTTTTGGTTCTACCCAGAAATAAACCAAGAAACTAGGCAAATTTCTGCCCTGAGAGAGCTTAAAATACTGAACTCAGCCTTGTGTAAAATTGTGCACTGTGTGAGAAGGAAGCTCCAGCTTTGGTCCCAGTTAGGAGGTGACCCCACTGCTCCACTGCCAGGGATCCCAGAGCTACCTGTGTTCCTAGACTTAAGTACATAGTCTGAGTTAAAAATAAGTTTGAGGAGCACAAAGTGTTTTTCATGCTCACACAACTCAGCAAAATGGTTTTTCCTCCAAACTTTGCAACAGATTTCAACTTTTGCCTCAAAACAAGAACTGAAAAGAGTTTCAGCTTCAAAAAGAAGAACAAAGAAGTGAGATGATCACTGGAAAGGAAAAGGTCAGAATGAAATGCCCAACTCAGAGTATTAGCACATGAGCAAGTTCTGGCAAGGCAAGCTAGAGACTGACCAACACTAATGTCAGTAAGTTTTAATTGCCTGAATTAGCATGCTTGTCCTACAGAAGGGAGATATCAAACTCCTTCACTTTAGCTACTCTCCAGCTCACCTTCCTGAAAGATGCACACATGCAAATAATTCAGTCTTAACTGTCACAGTTTAGTTTGTGGCTAGAAAAGAACCCCAGTACCAAGTAACCTGGTGTTTATCCTAAATGAGATTCCTCTCCCCTCCACAGTCCCACCTATATTATGAAGATAAAAGTCATTTTCAACAAAGCAATGATGGGTTGAATCACTCATGTTCTAGGCAGGTAACTGCAACAGTTTTCAGAACCTCCCAACCTAGCAGGGGACATCACTGAAACAACAAAAGAGCATTACTGAGAACTGCCTTTGGTAAAAACAAAATGAAAACCAGAGGCTTTTCAGTCACTGTTAAGGTTGATTATACAAGCAAGTCTTCAGCTTTTAACCCAGGACAACCTGAATCCAACTCTCCCTGCTTTCTAAAAACACCTCACAATAAATATTGTGACCCTGAGGACTCTTCCTTGCACCCTCTCCAGTTGGCAACAGGACAAAACCAAAAGCAAGAACAAGAGACTGACAGATTTCTTGTCTGCTACATGGGAAAACAGGTGGCAGGAACAGTGAGTGTCTCTCAGGAGACTGATCCACTGCACACAGAGCAGATCTCAGTGAGGAAGGAATAACATAGACCTGCTCTTTTGACTACAGGGTAAAGAACAAGGACAAGGTAACACATTGTTAACGTGGTGGTGAGCAAAAGGCTGGTGAGAAAGAAAGGAGACAAGGACCTCCCCCCTGCCCCACAACTTCTTGTTTTGCTTGTACAGGCCCATGACAGGACTATATGAACCATAAATCCTTTTGTGTGTTGCAGCTGCACTCACAGCTGCACGCTCTGTGTGACCATCTCAGCACTGAGGTGGCATTACACACCGTGCCAGGCACCTATGACAAATAAAAGCCCCTCACATGAGCAGGACACTGTCACACCAAGGTCACCTGGTCAGTGAGCAGGTTGTGCTATACACAAAATAACAATTTAAGACATCACAGAACTTTTATTTTAATCCTCCAGCTGACCATGCAACAGTGTGCTCCTCTTACAAGGTTCTGAGGGATGCCAACTACACTTGTAGAATAAATTTCAGTTAGTGTGGCTGTTGACTTGAACCAGCCTTTTTCCTCACAAAAGACTCAAACAGACAGTTAGTTACAAGCAACACAAGCTGCCCCAAGCTGCTGATGGGCTTCAAGGCAAATGCTTTCTCCTTGACAACAAAGTGAACAGAAGTATTTGGGAAGTGCTGAAACCCACACCAGGAGTCAGATATTCCCTGTTCCATCAGGGCTTGGAACTCAGGTGCTATTTTTGGAGAGAAAGTGAAAGGCAACACGTGAAAAGGAAAGCTCTCAGAGCTGAGAGATACTCACTGACTGCCTGCTGTTCTCATCATCCTCTTCCTCATACCCGTCCTCGTCCCCATCCAGGCGTGTGAAGTCGTCATCTCCGTACCCAACAGAGACCAGACCTCCTTTCTCTCCTAAAGAGAAAGGGGAAGAGAAAGGCATGGGGGGAAAGGAGGCGACAGGGCGCCGGGCGCTGCTCACACAGAGGGAGGCGCCGGGCC